AACTGTTTGGAAAGACTCCAAAAGACAGTTGAAAGATACTCAAAATTTCTCTCTCCCTTCTCCTTATCTTTTATAAATATCACACAAAATATCCTACATACATATTAAATTAAAAAAATTTAAATAATAGTAAAATTTTCTATAAATATAAGTTAGATTACGTAGAAGTTAGATTACGTATAAGTTAGATTACGTAGAATACATAATTTGGCATAATTTGGCATAACCCTACTCGCAATTTATGGTAGTACCTTAATTATTTAAATTACTAAGTTATTTAATTACTAAGAAATACTAAATTTAGTATTTTTTTAATCGTACTCACTTATTTCTGAACATTAAGGAGACTGGAAGGTCAAATTGTCTGAAAATCGTGCTTGTTTTTTCACAATTTTTTATGACAAACTGAATAAATATGTAAAAGTGTTATTTTGACGTTTGACGTGTGTACGACGTTTGACGTTATACAACATATAAACAGAAGAAAAATATAATTTTGATGATCAAAATTATATTTTGATACTCAGTTTAAGTATATGGTACATGCAGTTAAAATATATTTTGTTTTTTTTCAAGGTCATCATTTTGCAATAATATCTTGACTCTCGGTGATTCAATTAAGCTAAATTTTAAGTGGAAAATTTCCGTAAGCTTGTCTTTATCGTATGAACCACTGACAAACTCATGAAAATATTTAATTTTAAATAATTAATTTTTTTACTATAAAAGAACTGAAAATTTAATAATATTCCATTAAGATATTTGCAATTTTGTTAACTTTTACTCAATTTCTATTGTAACACGATAACGACAAGCTTACAGAAATTTTCTACTTAAAATTCAGCTTAATTGAACCAGCAAGAGTCAAGATATTACTGCAAAATAATGACCTTGAAAAAAAAACGAAATATATTTTAACTGCATGTACTTAAACTGAGTATTTGATCATCAAAATTATATTTTTCTTCTGTTTATATGTTGTATAACGTCAAACGTCGTACACACTTAACAAAATAACACTTTCGCATATTCATTTAGTTTGTCATAAAAAATTGTGAAAAAACAAGCACGATTTTCAGGCAATCCCCCCTTAACGCGAAGCTATCACGACGATAGATTATTGTTTTGACACATCATCCCCCGTTTCTTTGAATAATTAATAAATATTAGATTGGTCGTATCTGTCAAAAGGTTTGTCATGTTTGTAATAATGACATATATTAAGATTAGGAAGTCCTAATAACCTAGTTATATGACATGTTAGTGCTATTGTATCGTATCTTATTTCGATAAAAATACCAAGATATGTTATAGTATCTGCCAAGCGCATCGCTGTACAGTTATCTACCGACCGGTTCATTATATGACGTTACGACGAGCGGTTCATTATATGACGTTTCAACGTGGTTTACAGCACAAAAAATGTGCACTTGATTATATAAATAATAATTAAATTAAACATGTATATGCATGTAATAATTTATATGCAACCACTCTTAGTTATTCAAGGAAATAGCAACAACATCTTACATATTACGAATCGAAAATCGCGATCTTATCAAAATGACGAGAAAATAATCGACAAAATCAAGTAAATATCAATAGATATCACATACACTTATCACTTATAATTATCTATTCTTTACGTCACCGCCTGATTTTGTTATCTCACTTGTATCAATTATTATTTACGCCAATTGTGTGATGAATTAAAAATATTATCAAAATTTATATTCATTTTTTATATTCTATCTTTAACATTTATATTTAAATAATTTAATAAGTTATAAATATTTAAATATTTAACAAATAACATATTTATATATAAGTTAGAATAATGTAATGAATTTTTTATCTGATATTAAATTTATTCTATGGTAAGAGAAATTTACCGTAAATCGTGGACGTGTCGAAGAGCTTCTTCTTCTTCTTGTCGAAAAGTCTACCCCATGCAATGGTAAGCAAGATTCTCAAGAAATAATTCACATCGAAGAAGATGTAGAGGATGGCGATCGCCGCCACACAGCAGGAGCACACCATCGTCGTCAGTTATTGCGGTTCTTCTTCCGTCTCTTTCTCTCTTTCCTTGTCTGTTTTAATGCCCGTGGAACAGCAGCGCGACGACTCGACACCCGACGCACGTTTTACTACAGTCGGCAGAAGACTGAACGTCTACGAACTGTGTCTACGGCCTTTGGTATCGCGGGAACCGGTTCCGCGGGTGCTTCGTAGAGCCACTAAAGCCTGATCTACAATATGCTCTTTGCTTCTTGCTTCTTTCTCTTTATCTCTTTCTGACTCAAACCTTAAGCTTTAAGCCAGAAAAAGACAGAAGACAAGAAACAAAATGCAAAGAGCATATTGTAAATCAGGCTTAAGACGCTCCGAGTATCTGCTGCGTTACAGATTAACCGTTATCGTGCAAATCTCGAAACCGAAAGTTCGCAGATGTAAAATACACCGTGCAAATCTATCGACATACTCTCTTAAAATAAATCAGTCAAACATCACTGAAAACAATGAATATACACTGATTGCAGTTATAATCCAAACAGCACAAATGTCCAAAATCGAGTCCCTTACGAGTATAGCACTGAGCACTTTCAGACTTTCTTCCCAGACAGCACAATGTCCAAAATCGGGTCATAAGACGGTCTTTAAAACATCTTTAAGACATCTTTAAGACAAATTTATAACGTATTGTCTTAAAGATGTCTTAAAGACGTCCTAAAGACGTCTTCCCTTACGGAAAAGAACTATAGGAATACGAAAAAATTACTGGCATACTATTGAAGAACTGTAATTTTTCAATAGCATGTCAGTAGTTTTTTCGTATTCTTGTAGTTTTTTTCCATAAGGAAAGACGTCTTTAGGACGTCTTTAAGAATAATATAAACTTGTCTTAAAGTTGTCTTAAAGATGTTTTAAATCGTCTTATGACCCGATTTTGGACATTGTGCTGTCTGGGAAGAAAGTCTGAAAGTGCTCAGTGTTATACTCATAACTGATATCAGTGACTACTCACTGATTCACTTTAAGAGAGCATATATCCTGCAAACTCTTCTTTAACCCTTCTTTAATCGGTGAACTATTTTTTAAAAAGTTCATCGACTTGATTACTTATACACATATGTATACGCATATTGAATAAGACACAAATACCTATTGCGTACGATCGTCATGTGTAAGCGGAAATGCGAGCGAAGATATCAGAATACAAAGGCTACTTAGAATGAAAAATCAATAGAACACAGGACGTAAAAGTTTCGAGAAAAAATTAACTCACGCAAATAATATTTCAAAGACTAAAATAATTCAATTATTACAGGTCTCATGTTAAAGCAAAGAACTTAATACAATTTGCATCAAATTCCCGGGTAAAAGAAGATTATACTCTCTTAAAGTGAATCAATGAAACGTCATTGAAAGCACCCAGACAGCACAAACTTCTAAAAGATATCTTAAAGACGTCCAAAAGGAATAAGGATATCTTTTTGACGTCTTTAAGATATCTTTTAGATTGTGCTATCTGGACAATAAATATACACTGATTTGCAGCTATAAGTACAGCACTGAAACTGCTC